GTGGAAAATGTTATTTACGGCCATATTTTCACATTTATGGATGTTACAGCACCTCCGTAGTCATCTGATTTACATTTGGATGTTTGACAACTGACTCACATTTATGGCAGTTGCAGTGTCTTGGAGTCATGTGATTGATTCCCTTTTGTGACCTTCTGACGAGCAAAGTCAATGAGGAAACCAGACTCACTTAACAACCATGTTACCAATTTAACTGCAGTGATTCACTTAACAAATGTGGCGATAAAAGTCATAAAATGAGGCAAAACTCACTTAACAAATTCCTCAGCAACATACATTTTGGGCTCAATTGTAGTCATAAGTTGAGGACTACCTGCATAGTTTTCTCTTCAGTGAAATTAGATTGCTCTTGAAGTTAATACAGGTACAGTAGTCCTCAAATTTATGGCGGATCATTTAATGATTGTTAGAAGTTACAATGGCTTCAGATAGTATGCCTTACGGTCCATTAACCTTCTTGCTCATAAAGCACTTCCAGCTGTTGTAAAATATCACACTCCTCCCTGCGGTCATACTATTACATTTTAGGCACTTAGCAATCTACTCACATTTAGGACCAGTTGCAGCATCCTATGAATATGTGACCACAATTTGTGACATTTTTGCCAGTTTCCAGTCCCAGTTGTAGGATAAATTGAGGATCGCCTATAACATTTGTTTGTCACTGTCTACCTACATCCCTTTTATGGATTTTTGGGGTATGATTTCTATGATTTCACATTTTCCTTCTGTGGGCAGAATATTTATCTGTGGAAGGTTTCCAATCCACTGGACTATTTTTTCCAATTTTTCTGAACCCCAGTACTGTCCCTTGTCTGCCTCCAAATCTAACTTCAGTGTAAGGGTGCCATCTTACCATGCTAGAAACACTCCAAAATGAATAGGAAACCTATTAACCGTTGTCTCCCCTGCATTCTTTCTAGGCAGTTTTCCTATATTTCCTACAGATAGAATATACCTTTTGTAACATTTAAATAATAGAAACTTTCCATGAGTCCTCCAATCCAGAAAAAAAAATATTCCTGAAGTGTATATGCTTTAAAGTGTATATACTTTCAATCAGATAGCTAATTGTGTTATAATTTCTCTGTGTCAAATACACTAGATGATCTCATTTGAAAATATAAAGTGCTATGTCATAGTATTTTGTTTCTTTAAACATGGCTGACTTACAGCTTTCCACATGACATTTCTTATTAATAGAATCCTGCATATAGCTCTTGATAGTTACACAACACTGCAAGTTCATGTAGAAGGTATGCGGTTTTGCTTTATTAACACATTTATAATAGAAAGCAATTGTCAATCTCGTGTTCATTATGAAGGGAACGTTCAATTCAATTCATTTTGGGTACTTTTAAGGACATGTCCATATAGTTTCTTGGCAGCAATATGGAACTCTTATTTCCTTCCCACCGGGTATTGTTTTTACTTCCAAGTTAATACTTCTGCTCTGGTATTTTTTGCTGGTCTCCCATCCAAGTAGTATCAAGGTTTGACCCTGCTTAGCTTTAAGATCATTCAAGGTTAGCAATACATGCTCTGGAACTTTGGGGCAACTTGGTTTGATGCAACAAATCTTTTAAGGATAAGGTTACATTAATGTCATTTAAATACTGCTTTCTATTTCTGTAAGGATCTGTCAATGAGTACAATTAGAAAAAGTGTCAAAAGAGGTAAAAGCAACTTGTTAGAGTCAGGCTTTGGATTCTGGGACTGTCCTTCCTTTTTTTTTGGCTGCTGTAAGCCACAATGATTGGGTAATCGGCATTATGAAATTATCAACGGTGTGACTTGAAATTTCAATCTTCTCTGGGTTTTCTTTCCCCCCAAAATGAGAATTTTTAATTTTGGAATCTATTAATTTTAAGGATTAATGGATTTATTTAAGTTTGGGAGTTTTAATTATCCAATTGTAAACCACTTTTAGCTTTTCGGGGAGAAACAGTAAGTACGGTATGCTTGCAGTATGAAAATAAAATAACAGCACACCTTAATTATTCAGTAATAATCAGTGAACTGAGACTATTTTCAAGTCCTAAATATACAATTAAAAATGAAACGTATTTCAAACAACTCTAAGAATACTATTAGTAAATCAGCTCCCAGTGTTTTCTCTCTCAGATTCCTAAGTTCTGTCTCAAATCTGAAAGGCCAAGAACTCATAAGTAACAGTGAAGGATGGATAATAACTATGATGTGTAATTACATTGAGGTGGTTTGTTTTCTGATGAAACTCTGCATAATAAAAATATTACACCTAGACATACGTAGCATCAGTCCCCTCAATTTTATCTCTTCTGATACTGTAGCACAAGGGAGGTAATCTTGGAATGTGGGATCCTATGATACACACAGATCTGTGGCCACTTATTTAAAACAGTGGCCTCCAATCTCCAACCGGTGGTGGCAGGAGGGGGGGAGGGGGGGATAAAGGATGGTTTTACATGCGCGTGCCACTTTCAGAAATTCAGCATCTCACATGCTCGCGCACCACTTCTGCAGCCCAATTCTGAATGGGCTGCAGCCCAGCACGGACCAGTGGTTGGGGACCCCTGATCTAGGAAATGTTTAATTTCTATCTGCCTCAATAAGACACTGAGAATAGTGTGCATATTATTTCAGTGGTGGTGCTTTTGAAAATGTAAAGACAAAACAAATCTATATTCTTTCAGAATGAGAACAGTGGTTTTTTTTTATGGATTTATAGGCCTGGTTCCAATTTTTAGAGGAATAGCATGCTGATGTTCCACAACGTAATTATGCATTGCATGTAATGTAGCACTTGTTTAAAATTTAATTTGACGGCACTGCATAAATAAAGGCAAACCAAATAACATTTCATTTGTCTCAATCAACCTTTTTAAAACCATGAACCAACTGTTTACTCAATAGGGGGAACAATGAAATGCATGTTAAAATGTCTTGATGCATTAAGAAACTTATTTTGTGTACAACTGTAAAAAGTTTGGATTCAATGACATTTTTATTATTTTAATACAAGTGTATAGATTAGAAGATCTGAAACATTATAAAGCAATATACATAATAAATAACATGCACAGTAGTCATGTTATATATCTTATATAACACTGGCTAGTATTCAAAATAAATCCAGTGACATTGGAGAACTCCATAAAAATGCTATCCTGTCTTCCCTTTTATGAAATTGTTCAAGTATAAAAGATTCCAATACAGTCTAAAATATTAAATTTCTTTTTAGGTCAAGAATAAAAATTACACATTATTGCAGTTCACAGGACAAATGAAAGCAGCATTTCCTAGCTAAGGAATAATAGTTGATCTATATAGAGATGAAACTGAAAAATGACCCCTTTTCATAGTAGAAAATACCAATAACCCACTCTAAAGACATGATGGGTATTCCTTTATGATGTTTGCACATATTGTATTTAAGATTAGGGCTTCAGACTTTATCATTCATATAGCTAATTGAGAAAAAGTCTCATCAAAATTAGTGGGACTAAAAATTCAATTCTGGATTACTGTTATGGTACTGGAACTATTTATCTGCAACTCAGTCATCACATGGGCAACCAAGTGTCTTTACAGTAAACTCACAGGCTGGACAAATCACATGCTATTTCACCATATTGTTCAGCCAATTCCCATGGTTTCCATATGCAGACATTATTATGGATGTGTGTGACCAATAATATAAATATAGCTCCTATTATACATCACAGTAATTTTTTTTATTGAGTCTTACTCCTCAATTGGTACTGTATATGTAGTATCTGAACATCTTTCTGAGTAAGTTTATTGAAAACCAGTAAAGCTTTCATCCAAGAAAACTGGTATTCAGTCAGTGAAACAGCGGGAAAATCATGAAACTAGCATCTTAAAGATCAAAACCTTTCCAAAAGTTTTAAAATACCCTTACCAAGGTATGTTTATTGAAGACAATAAACCCATGTCAGCATCTTTAATTGCTTATATTATTTTATATTCTACTGCTAAACCTGCTAAATAACTTACACTATGAGATGAATACAATATTTTACAGTTTCACATCTAAAGTGGGTTTCTTTAGAATGCAGCATCGTACAACTTTCAAAATAAATATATCTTTAAATAGCATTACAATTAAGGCACAATATAGCTCACATAGAATTAACCTTTGAAGAATTGCAGTCTCAACAAGTAGCCGCATGGAAGAGGCCTATGTTTTGCAAATAAATATTTAAATAGGAATTAACTTGTATACAAATCATTTCAAAAAGCATTCCCTAGTACAGTTCTTAAATATTAAAATTCAGCAAATTTCTTCCTGCCTTTATTCACAAACCATGAATAGATACAGTAAATAAAAGGAGAAAGCTGCTGTAGGAGAGAGCTGATCCTGTTTAAGAATCAGAATAGCTGACTCTAGCAGTCAAAATTGCTCTAAAAGTGAAACAGGATGGGGAGAGGGATTAGAATGTGACAACCTCATCAAATGAGAACAAGTGATGTGTTCTTTCCAGAACGGGCTGTGTCATTGATTGTCTGTACAGCTGTTACACCCTTTAATTCCACACCACTTGCTCCATAGTCCCATTCATAGAGAGGACAGATGAGAAAATAACTTTGATGCTGTCTACCCTTCCCCCATCTCCCAAGGGCCATCTTCCTTAGTTTGTTTGATGCCCAATATGAGATCGTCCAAAAAATATTTTTCTACTCATTCACACAAAATAGGCCATACTAAAAAATTGCAATGACAGCCAGCGCTTTCAATATTTAAGTAATAGTAATCTTCTACTTGATACGGTAGTTACGGATTGCTCACCTGAACTTTTTACCCTGGATACTGTAAAATGCACCTTATTTTTTTTAAAAAAACAGCTTTTTTTTGGTTACTTTAGCTATGCTTTCATGATAAGATGATGCTTAGAAACTCTTACAATATCTTATCCCACAATATTATTCATTCTATGGGAGGCATAATGCTTTAAAAGACTGTGGTATTTGTTCTTATACTATTCTATTGCATTGTAGTTTTTTTCTTTTTTAAAGCTGGATAACTTAAAAAGTTAATTATTTCTACTGGAAGGCTTGAAGGTAAATTGATAGGAGTAATAACAAAGGATGCTTTCTTGCCATGTCCATCTGCTATTGCATACGATCTGTTTGCAGTTGCTGTGGCTGGTATTGGCCAAAAGCAGCTGCTGCAGCTGCAGCTGTTCCAGGCGCTGCTGCAGTGATAGGTTGCTGGACTGCATAGCCATATCCCCCAGCAGTGACATATCCTGCAGCAGCTGGCGAAGCTGCATAGGGATACTGGTCATAAGCTGCAGCTGCTGCAGCGGCCGCCGCTGCAGAGTACTGAGCATATGCAGCTCCCGTGTAGTCAAGGTAGGGTGTGGTGGAAGTAGCAGCTGTAGGCTGGACATGTGGAATAACCACTCCAGGTTGCACGAAAGCTTGCGGATATACATAATGAGCAGGGATCCTGTTGAAAAACAGAAGATAAAGTTAGGCCACTGGGAAACCTCACTCCCCGGTCCAGAACTAAAAACCAAACTCAAATTTAGTTGTTGTTATATGCATAGGGTTGCCACAATAATTAATTTCAGTTATCGTCTTGCAAGCTAAAAAGGAGACACACTGATGAAAATATATATGTGTGTGTGTGTATGTGTGTTTTAAAAAATAGTAGTGTCACGTTGTTAGTGCCAACTTACAACACTAATCAGAATTGCTATAAAGGCACACTACTAATTTTAAAATACTGATAATCTTAACATGTACATTTGTTAAAAGAAAAATTAAAGAATCCTGGTTTGGGACTAGACGACATGGGGTGCATAGCCACAGAGAAGTGACTAGTTTTCCCCCTAAGATTTGTAATATACTGAGAGTTTATATGATTCTTTCCTTAGAATATATTTTTGGTAACCTACATGTTTAGTTTCATGATCCAATACCGATGATTTCACAGGACTTCTGCTTATTCCATTGCATTACCCACATTATTCAAATGGATATGATGTAGGGTAACAAATATTTTGTATTGTGGCAATCCTACTTGAATTGCTATGCACACATTAATTCCTCTGCAACTTCAGTCATCCTTATTAAAAAATAATAAATAAATAAAAACCACAGGCGACAAAAGGAGTTTAAATAGAAGTTCACAGGTGTGGTAAACACAGCAAGAATCACACTTGTCAAACGAACTATAGTGCAATTCACTCCGTCACAAAAGGCTATTGAGGGGAAGCTATATAGATGCCATTAAAATACATGACAGTGACCTCTGGGTAGATGTGCATCACACTTCTGAAGAGGTTGTAAGGCCATGAAAGTCAAACCTGTTATGACATATCAGGCCACGGAATCTTGTGCCACCTTCCTTATTTCTATATAAGGCATAGCTTTGGAAGGAAATAGGGAGAGCTGGGGTAGAATTATGTTCAGGTAGATCTAGTGTTTAATAAAAAAAAAAGGAGAAACATATTTTGAGGAACAACCTTGCTGTTATTACATACATACTTCAATATTCTCCTTACTATTAAACATTCCATTTTTTTATGTGTGTACCGCTAGAAGCACAAGCAGGCCACTGTTGATATTTGTAATAAAGCTCTCATATGTATAGAGAACAATACTTCTGTGGTGCTTTCAACACGCAAATGCTTCAGGTATTATCTCAGGATTACTTACGAACAGCTTGGTAATGGAGACCGTGGTTATTATGCATAGAATAATAATAGTTTGCTTAAAAATCTCTGAATAAATCTGCATGGCTTAAAATAAGCTCTGCTTGTTGCATGCAGCTATACAAGTTGCTAATTCCCCACCTATATGTATATGGATTGATCCCTTGTATCTTACGTATCCAACCTATTACTCTTGTATCTTATGTATCGAACCTATTACTCCCTTTGGAATAAACAGAAACTTCTCCAAAGTTTTAACTTGCAGCTAAAACTTTTATCAGGAAATCAAACTGTCTCTCCTACATAATGTGTAATTCTGATAAGATTCAGGGAACACGCACACACGCATAGATGCAGAATGAAAGCTTTCAGCTTCTCATGCAATGTAAGTTTCCTTTCTCTCTATTGCACAGATTACATCCTCTTGATCCCCCTATAACCAATTTAATACAGCTGCATTGAAAAATTATTTTCAACGTTCATATGATGTTGCCAAGCAAAAAATGTTTTTAGTTATATAACACTACTGCATTAGAAAGTAATTTTTTGGACTTAAAATCCACACAGCTTTGCTTTGAAACAACTACCATCTGTAAGAAATGGTATAGGATCTCCTGTGTGAGTAGGGGGTTGGACTAGATGACCTACAAGGTCCCTTCCAACTCTGTTATTCTATGTTCTATGTACTCCCCCTTCAATGCCTACAATTCAATATTAAGGATCCAACTAAAAAAATCATAATTATTTTCCGACTGTCCTGGATAGGAAAACAGCAACACATTAAGGATGCATATAAGAAGAGATTATTGAACAGAATGACAGTCACTTGTTAAGAATTTTTTTTAAATACAGAAAAAATTATTCATCTCTTATATTGAGTGTTCTGTAAAGAAATCTATGATATTAAAGTCAATAATAACTTTGTTTTTGTATGGTTTTAAATAGATTTAAAACCATATAGTAATTTGATCATAATGCTCATTTAAAAACAGATCAATTGCCAAGGATCATTTCTATCAGACTTAAGACTTTAGAAGACACATGCAGATCACTTTGTTATAGTTAAGTCATAGCTCTGTTCTGACAGAAGCATCATCATCATGGACTTTTAAAGTTGTTTCGTTGTTAGAATATCATGATGAATCTATGTATTCAAGTACTTGTAATTTGTTTCTATTAAGCTAAGAAACAAACAGGTGGGAGAATTATGAAACTTTACCCCTTTAGAACTTCGTAGCCTACGATTTGCATGCACTCTGTTCAGGCGCCCACTGTTATGCCATATCTCACATGATTGACAGCGAAAGCTGCAGTGGGTCTATTTTTGATCATCTGTCATGCGACAAGAGCTTCCAGCTGAGTAAAATGGCTTTATAAGGCCAAAGTAAACGTCCATCTGTTGGAAACGCCAGCATGCAGAGATTGTCATGATACTAAAATGCTAGCTCCTTTTATGTTCTTCAAGGTCAAAAAGTTAAAGAGCAGCTTCTCATTAGGTTGTTCAGGCATCTTGATGCAACAGATTGAAAAAAGTTCTTCTGAACTTACTTTTGGGAGAAACACTGGATTCTGCACCTTTTTCCAGATTTTTCAAAGGTAGTTTTCTTTGATACATTAGAAATAGGCACTGAAACTCATCCATTTTCCTTCAAGATTATTATAAACACACACTTACATGCAAGTAACCCTACTGAACAGAGTGTTTCCTTACTTCTATCAAGCAAAAGCAAAAATAAGATTTTGAGATTTAGATTATATATATTGTGCTGGGTCCTCATGGCATTGCATTTCATTTGATCCCAACAAATACCTGTGGTGGCCTTAATTCACTCGAGCTATACCGGAATTAAAACAGTGTTTTCCCTCATACACTAAAAAGACTTATCACAGATAGAGCTGCAGGCACTTCACTAACCAAGGTGATCCAAGAAAATGGGGTAAACTCACCATGTATCAACAATTGGTATGGGTAGGCCATTCTCCCTTTAGTCTTTGCATTGTGCTTTCTAGGGCCATTTTTTTCCTAGGAAAGGCTAACCCATTTTTTTTTTCAAACGGGTCTCCCGGGATCAGAGTCCTGGATTAGTCTGAATAACAGCTGACCGACAGTAGTGGTGGAACAGCTGCACGATGGCAAGAGAGAGCTGTCTTTCTGCTTCTTTTCCCACACCTGTTAGCTGTAGTTCAGGCTGCTTTTAAAGACGGGTTTCATGTTCATTGGAGCAGTTCTCAAACCATGTCTAGGAGTCTAGCAGACCATTATGGGTCAAGAAATATTCTGGAATAGCACTGTTCTGTAAGAATGCTAAGCTACTATGTCCAAAAGGAGTCTAGCAGACAATTTTTTGGTTCATTTTGAATTCACTTGTAGAGCAGATAGGCAAAAATAGAGTTGAGTTTTGACAGATTGCTCAAGATATCTATCCAGACATTGTTAAAACTTTCTGCCTCCCAGGCTCTTTCCTATCCCAATGTACAGTAAGGAGAATAACGGCCACTTTCATGCCTATTGGTGACATGGTGGAAGGTGTACTAAGAGATGGGGTAAACAAAGCTGGAGGAACCTCCAACCCTTAACATAATCTCTGTACCATGAATATGGATAGAATCACTTTCCAGCTTTGTGTCTAGGTCAGGATAAGCTCTGTCAGTGGGGACATCATATTTTATGCCAGTATAAATTTTTTTTTGCTAGCTCAAGGACTGGTAAGTAGTACTTTTAAGTCAGTCTTTTTTTTAAAAAAAAAAACCCCTAATGGGTCTCAGTTCTGAAAAAACATGCATATTACAATATATATGGAGCCTCGGTGGCGCAGTGGTTAGAGTGCAGTACTGCAAGATACTCCCACTGCAATTTGGCAGAATCCCACCAGGCTCAAGCTTGACTCAGCCTTCCATCCTTCTGAGGTGAGTAAAATGAGGACCCAGATTGTTGGGGGCAATATGCGGACTCTGTAGACCGCTTTGAGAGGGCTGTAGACTATAAAGCAGTATATAAGTCTAAGTGCTATTGCTGTTGCTATATCATTGTAAAATCTGGGGTTGGATTCATTCCTTTCAAAAGAACTCACTTTAATGTGTGTGTTGAACTTGTTATATAACTATATCATTTTTATTCAGAATTCAACCCTTACTGAATTCAATGAGTAATTATATTGAGCTAAATATGTTGTGTACGTGTGAATACCATCACAAAAGTAATCTTCAACTTGCAACCGTTTGTTTAGTGATCATTCAAAGTAACAACGGCACTGAAAAAAGTTACTTAGGACCATTTTTCACACTGTTGTAGCATCCTGCCAGTCATATGTTCAAAATTCGGATGTTTAGAAATTGGTTCATATTTATGACAGCTGTCATGTCCCAGGGTCATGTGATCACCTATTGCGACCTTGTGACAAGCAAAGTCAATGGGGATGCCAGATTCCCTTTATAACAGTGTTACTAACATAACAACTGCAGTGATTCATTTAACAACTGTGGCAAGAAAAGTCATAATATAGGGCAAAACTCACTATTTCGCTTAGCAATAAAAATTTGGGGTTCAGTTGTGGTTATACATTGAGAACTGCCTTTAAAGCATTTAGCATTTTCACAGTAACTGCAGTGGAGTCAGAATATTTAAGTGGTAACAGATTTCCAGTAGAGTATAGATAGTCATGTATAAAAGCACCAACATTAAGCTAAGATGTATTATGATAAGAATGACCTATCCTCTTTCCAGAATTTTGGATTTTGCCTTTTGAATTTGACAGGACATAAGGAAAATTTTGGAAACATTTACTTCCAG